CGCGGCCTTCCCTGGCTGGTGCTGCATGGCCATTTGGCTCAGCGTCCAGGCTGCGACTGCAGACCTGGGCCAGGGCGCACTCCCGTCCCCTGCCCCCCACACCTCCAGCCTTTTATGCAATCAGAGTGCTGGCACCTGCTGGAGGCCCAGATCCTGTAGCCCAGTCCCCACCAGCTTCCCCTTCTCTCACCTGAAAAAACCTGAATCTCCGCTCGAGGAAAACCGCTCCTCCAGATTCTCCTGCAGAAAGAAGGGGCAGGCGATGCGCTGACTCGCTGCTCTGCTCGCATCAGCAGGGCAGTGCGCCGTCCTGGCCGCGTGCTGGCCACGGGCCCTGGGGCCTGCCTGCAAGAATGCGGGGGTGGGGGGGGCTCACCCTTGCAGGGATTGTCATCTTTCTCCATCCCACTGCACAGGAACTGGTCTGTCACCACCTCGCTGACATCTGTCAGGTTGGGGAACATGGTTTTGTCTTGGCCGACGACCTCAGTACATCTTGCCCACTGCAGTAGGAGTGGAGCGAGAGAGAAGGCTGGATGAGCAGCGGGTGCCTCTCTCAGATGGAGAAGCAGCCAGCACTGCAGGGGCAGACAGACCTTCTGGGGGACCCGCCCCCACAGCCCAGACCCAGCCGCTCACCTCTGTCCCTGTCTTGAGGTTAATGTTCAGTGTGTCCCCATTCAAGGCCACAAAATGGGCAGGAACGCTCAGCTTGTTCAGAAGTTCGCTCTCTACAGGCAAGGAGAGGGGAGGCTGGTGCCGGCCCCTTCACCCGGGACCCGGCTTCTGACTTGGGGACCGGAGCACAGCCATGTCCTCACCCCGAGCCCCGGCCCCAGCTCCTCCACCTGAAGCCCCCAGCTCTCACCGTGGTCCCGGCAGGTGCTGCCCGGGGGTCTCCGCAGGGCCAGGTTGGCCCCCACCGTACAGGGAAGGCAGATGGGCCTGGGGAGAAGCGGGGGTCACACAGGCCCGTGCTGGGTGCCCCCTCCTCCAGGGCTCCCCAGAGCTCTGCCCCAGGTGCCAGCACCTAGCATGGGTGGACATCTTCACTTTCTGGGCCAGCTTCAGCAGGGCGATGTCGTCCCCGTAGAACTCCCGGATGCCCTGGTGCCTCTTGGCAAAGACGTCAAAGTGTTTGGAGATCACCACCTGCTCAATCTGGAACTCCTTGCCCAAGCGGGAGCTGGGATCCCCTGGGAACAATGTGGCAGGG